AGGCTATCGCGAAATCCCAACTGAGTTCGTCCCTCACACAACTTTCATTTTCAGTATGTGTAAGCTAACCCCGGGTGGATTGAGCATCTAGACGACGTTAATGTCAAGCGTGTAAACTCGTAATCCTTCCATGCGCACGCATGCCAACAAGATGAATCCAATAAATTTCTTCCTCGTACAATCCTAGGGTTGGTCAGCGGTCACACTGTACGAAACTCGATCGGTAAAAGTTTGGCGAGACGAGTACATCTCATCGGGTTCCACGAGATTAGGTCGAAGTGGAGAACTGAACGAGACATAAAGCTCCCCCCGGGATCGAGCTTAAGCGGCACGCTTTGGGTTAGTGGAGGAAAGAGAGGACCCGATAAAAACAAACACCATAACAAACATCATTAACGACGCCACGATCCTCCTGTCGCTAAACGTACATGCAGTAAGCAAAGAGCAACGGCTTTGTGTCATTTCGATCACGGCAAGAGCAAAAAGCAAGCCAGAGGGCTCGATCTTTATCTGATTCTTGGAAGGGAAAGAGACGCTCTTTTCACGTAATTGCATGTGACTAGGCAGGCAATACCACCTTATCAGTGCACATATATAGGAATAGTGATGATCTCTCCCTTTATATCTCTTAGGGAAGGTGGTCTGCGATGTTAATCCGGACAACATTGCATGGTGAGTCAGTCCATCTTTGGGCCATGGTAAATATCAAAGTTATGCTTTTTTTCAAGGCGACAAAGGATGGAAAGTGGGACACGAAGATGATGTAACACCACTTCTAGGGACCAAACTCCATTTGAGGAGATCCCCCATGAGGCAACAAATCTTCCTTTTGGTTCGTTATCATTATTTTCACTCGCTCAAATGACCCACCATGGTCTTTTATCTCGATGGGGTTAGTTTGTTGGGGGGTTTTTGACGAAGGGGGGCATTGATTGGTTTGTCCCATGGTCCAAAGTGGTTTGATGCATGAGTGACAAGATGGAATCCTACTCTTCCATCTTGATTTGAATGTGCCTTCGAGGGTAACATAGGTAGGGTTTTAGATGAGTCCTGATTTCGAGTTCGAATAGTGGTGTCTCTTGCTTAGGGCCATTTCAAGAGTCACGCCTGCCATGATGTAGGTGGAGCTCATCGATAATGGTTTTGCACTGCATCCGTGAGAGTAAATATAATTGAAAGGTGTGGCCACCTCGTATTGTATAGAAAGGGAATGCCCGAACTCAGGAAAAGAGATTCAAAGTAGGGGTGAGCATGCTTTCAAGGTAGAGCTGAGAGTCTGGATAATCGGGCCGGTTCCCGGTTCCATTATTTCAGGAACCGAACCGAACCGGGAATCGAATTGGGGGAACCGAGAACCAGCATGAATTGAGTAGCTTATACTATTTCTTAAAACCTCCTCCGTTGGTTTTGCCCTGGTGGTGGTACACTCCGTTAGTGGCCAAAGTGGCCTTAAATTCGGAGCTTTAAATCCGCTCTGTTAAGTCTAGAATTTGCCCAGAGTCATGCAAATTATCTTGAGTTGAGAAAAACTTTTATGTCTTGAAATTCGCATGATTTGTTATTTCTTCTTCTTGAAAACTTGAAATTGGGTGCCAAGATCTGTTTACGAGGGTCAAAGTCCTTCATAACACTAAAATGGCCTGAACATGCAGAAGGTCTTATTCAGACTGCATCACCAAATGTAATTTTGTTGTTTATTTTATTTTGCGCGTTCACTTTTATGGATTATTGTTTATATCGGCAAATGAGAAACTTTCATATTTATTGTTGCGTTCGCATTCGTTTTGCTTAACTAAAAATGAAAAAAAGAAAATAAAAATGAACCTGTTAGACTCCGAAATCGACCCTGAAACCTGTGACAGAGTTGGTTCCAGATTCCAAGATATGCAAGGTAGGTTCCAGGTTTTAAAAAATGAGGAACCTATTCTGATAGGTTTGGAACCTGGAACCACTCATCCATAATTCAAAGCATCAAAATCAGAGGATTCAAGGATAATCTCCACGAATTGAATGCAAAATCCTTAGATGAAAGCAAAGCTTGAAAGTGACATCAGACTTGTCCATAGAAAGAAAAGATCCTAGTACACGCTTCAAGATCCGGGTGAATGTTCTTCAACCGAACTTATCAAGCTCTCTAAAGAAGGGTCTTTCCACTAGACTTATCAAAATCTGTTGTATTCTATTGCAACAGCACCGGATGCTCCTGATTCCATTGCTTGGTAAGATCTTTTTTCAGTGCCAAAGCAATAGATGATATGAAGACATGGAGAGACCGGGTCGTAGATAGGGCCGGCCACGGGGCTGGGCTGGCCCCCCATTGGGTGGCGGGCCGTGCCCCGGGTAGGGTCTGGATCGGGTCAACCTCATAGGCCCTAATGGATTTTTTTTAATGGATTGGACCTTTGAGGCTAAATCCAATGGCCGAGCTCGTGGGCCTAACCTTAATCATACAATGATTGCTCAATTTTGACTTACCTTCCCAACCCTCTATTAGCTACCTCCTAACACAGGACTAACCGTCTACGAATGCATGTTTCCATGACCCTCTTTAGGAGGACAAGCATGCTTGGCTTGCTCGAAGCACCCAAAGTATCTAGACTTGTCAAAATGGGTCATAATTGATGGGCCGAGTTATTATATTGATTAGTTATATTCACTAAATATGTCATAAAATGGGTTTAAAATGGTAAATGTCAAAATAATATGGGTGTTAAATGGTTCACAACTTACTTAAACCCAACCCACCTCTATGACTCTTTTTTCACTCAATATCGCCTTCACTCAATCTCACCCTCGCTTGCTTGCGCACTCTGCGTCTCACCTCAATTTGGCTAGAAGTTTTCCTAAATTAGGTTAAATATGAAAGTATTTTAGTAATATGATTGGGTTAGGTTGAATATATGTTTAGTCAGACATGGGTAATTAGATTTGTACTGCAAGTAAATGGGTCAAAATGGGTTAAATGTCTCAATTTGGGTCAAATCATTATCGACCTGACCCACTTGTTTGACAGCTCTAGTTATCACTAAGAGATCGATAATCTAGTCTTAACCAACTCGATAATCTCTTCAGAAAAAGTCGCAATGCTATGCCCTTGTGTATACTCAACGGTCGCGATGCTATGCCCTTGTGTATACTCAACTCGAAAATCTCTTCAGACAACGCGATGCTATGCCCTTGTGTATACTCAACGGTCTCGAGTACGATTCCTATGTTTCTACAAGATTAATTTTTCTTCTGGATTAGCCATAGCAATAATAGTAACCGAGAGGAGATACTAGACTACATGAAACAGATATCTCCAAGCCAAGGGGTAGAATGTTTGGTTTTGGGCCTTGAGATGATGATCTTGATGCCCAAAAGCCCGACTTCCGCTAGAGATGGATGGGCCAAGTGGGCCCGATTGGACCAAGCCTTTTTCACGAAAATGCTATATCCATTATTTCAATGGAATTGTTTCGTTGTTAACTCATAATTTATCCACGCGTCCTTAAACTTTCTCTAAATATTTTAGTTGGACTTACGTTATTTTATGCTTCGATTTCTCTTTATTGGACTTAATTACAATAAATCAAATAATGGGTATCTATTGAATTAGTTACCCTTAATTCATTACAATCTTATTATTTTTCTTTCATAGTTTGCCGTACAGTTAGACATGTCCATACTGTTACATTGTTTTTGTCTTAATCCATGTTTTAATATTTTCTCTCTGTTTTTTTTAATAATAGCTTATTTTCTTTCATAACTCTTTCATTCTCTTTTAAATAATTACAGTCATGATAATTTCTAAAGATCGACTTCTATTTTTCCTATAAAATCACGACGAATGCTATTGTAGTATATGTGATTTAATTTCCATCTACAAACAAAATGAACGATTTAATTAATTTCCCATAGATCACCTTATTGTTTTGTCTTCTTTGATTGATCCCTTGTTAAATATCATGTCATAAGAACACCATTCAGCTGAAAATAAAATCCGATTCCATCGCGGAGTGACGGGTTGTTTTGCTAGTTCTGGTTCAATAATCGCAAGGATGTACTAATATTTTACACAATTTTCGCTTTGCAAAGTTGAGAGATAGAAAATATCAACTTTGATTAGTCTCTCTCAATGAGTCTATTTCTCTCATTCTTTATCGTAAACTCCTTTAATTTCGGCTCTAAGTAAAGACATGACTCTTATTGGCTTGGCTTTAGACCTCCATATTTTATGTTCCATATCTCAAATAAATCCTGTCTAGTTTGACTCAACACCAAACAAGCCTTTGTATACATATGGTGAACAACCTCTACCATTTATGTAATGGGTTAAAATCACGAAAAACCCCAAACTAGTACACTTATGACAAATTTACCCAAAACTAATTTTTTGACAATTAAAAACCCCAAAATGGTACATTTGTGATAGATTTACCTTTTGTTAGTTTCCATTAAATTGGATTAATACAAAAAAAAATCACAAACTGGTACATCTGTGAAAAACGGAGAGTAAAACATAAAATCGGTACATTTGTCAACTGCCGCGTGTCATTTAACAAAGCAATGTAAAATTTAACGGAAACAAACTTGAGGTAAATTTGTCACAAGCGTACCAGTTTAAGGTTTTTTGTGATCAAAAAATTAGTTTGTGATAAAATTGTCAAAGGTATATCAGTTTGAAGTTTTTCGTTGTATTAACCCTTATATAAATTCTGCCAGCATCAAACCGTGCTGTAATTATATGTACGCGTAAATTGGTCAGTTCACATTCGAGTTGACAAACCATTTACATACCATAAATTCTTCTGTATACTTGTCCATGATCGTGCAAAAATTACATCCATTTTGGGCTTCTTTATTATTTACATATGCTGCTGAAAATGGGAAAACCCACCCATTTATGGAATTAATGTAATTGCTAATAAAACATAAAAATAGATTTCCTTCCTATTTTAAATCCCAATTTATGAACATAATTTTGGGTAAGTAATGTAAGTCCCTAACAAGTTACAAAGGACAACTTTCGCCCGCTTCTTCAATATATAAAAGAACAACTCTCTCACTAAGGCAAACCATCTCTCTCTCTCTCTCTCTCCCTCTGAAGCAAACCATGAAGAAGAATGAACACCAACAACCACGATCGCCGCCGCCGCCCCCGCCCCCGCCGAAGCTCCTCCTCGCCACCGCCCAAATGCAATTCCACCACCTCATCCACTACTTCCTCCTCTTCGCCTCCGGCTTGGCCCTCGGGCTCGCCCTCTCCATCTCCCTCAAAAGCTTCTCCTCCTTCAACGTATCCTTCCAGCTCAACAACAGCAATCAACTCTCCCTCCAAAGCCCCGCCTCGCCGCTGCCGCCTTCTCTCTTCAACCAGACCCCGACGCAGTGGTGTCGCACCGTCTCGAGCGACTTCTTGGACCCGCCGACCACCATGCACGACATGGACGACAAGGAGCTCCTCTGGAGGGCGTCCATGGCTCCCAAGCGACGAGGGTACCCTTTCAAGCGGGTCCCCAAGGTCGCCTTCTTGTTCTTGACAAGAGGCCCTCTGCCGCTGGCGCCGCTGTGGGAGAGGTTCTTCCGAGGGCACGACGGTCTTTTCTCCATCTACGTCCACTCTAATCCGGCGTTTAACGCGACGCTGGACGGCGGCGAAAGCGAAGGCTCTGTCTTCCACGGCCGGAGAATTCCGAGTAAGGTCAGTGACGTGCAGCCTTTATTAAACGTCCAATCTCTTCATTTTCATTAGCACCGTTGATCACATTATACGTATAAAAACTCGATCACAAGCATACAAAACATTAGTCGAGACAAGCTATTTATGGGTAGTATGATGAATGGTGAAAGGTTTTCGTTGCACAATTCCGATACGTGCATATAACCTTAGGGCGAGTTACGGGGAGCAATTCCTTGTGAATTCCGTAATCTCGATAAAGATTGCGCATATCTAGTGATCTGATTCACAATTCTAGCTCGGTATAACTAAAGCCGACCTGCAAAATCGACGAACCGGTCGAAGTGCGCCGAAGTAAAGTTACCCTATATTAGGTGAAAGCTTAATCGGAAACTAATCTATGTTTAAGCTTAGCTAGGCTGTGTTCTTTCAAGCTACCCCTTTAAGCTACGGCCTATGTAATCCTAACACTTTAGATTTGGCGATGAAATTTCACGAAAGAAGCAAGTTATTTTGGCTGCTTTGAACAGTTCCCGGATCCGCTTCCGCTTCCTGTGTCAACAAACATTTATTCACATGAAGAGAACATTTAATAAGTTGTTAGTTTAAGTCAAGAACAGTGCCAAAAACATGCATAATCGGCTAGCTAGAAAGTTAAGGGATGATCCGGGATCGTCGAACTTGCTGCTCGCTCGTGACCCGGTTAGGTCGCGGGGTTCAACCAGCAGACGGCCTACCGGGAGTCGATAGCACTCCACAGATAGAGGGGATCGAACTCGTGATATGGAGTTTCGCGCCCGAGCCCGTCCAGTGGGAGATGGCATGGAATTTGCCATATTCGAGACTTGCTTGGATTCTACTCCTTTTGCAACGCAAAAGGAGAGAAATTCCAATGCCTCACTTCCTTTTCAGCATTCCTTTCTTCTCCCCGTCCCTTGTGTCAAAAGTGAAAAAGTGTAAAAGCCGAATTTAGAATCAGAAACTTCAAGAGCTACAAGTGAACCTCCCAATTTTCGAATTTAGTTATAACAAAATGCATATCGTACCCGAAAAAATTTCATTTTTTGTAAAAATTAAAGAAAAAAGAAGTATATTGCAGCCTCTTTAGTAACCGAGAGAGATGCTTATTTGAAAATTAAAAGGAGAAAATTAAAAAAAAAAGAGAAAAAATGCAAAAAATCTCCAATCGATATTGCAGAAATTTTTCATGCATGCTTCTATCTTTGGGCTTAATTAGATGCAACTTAGCTAGGCCTGGACTTAGGTGTAAATTTTCAATGACTTTGTTGTTAGATACAAGCCCATATCTCACTTACCCATGTCTCTCTCTATATTGTCGGCCTTCTCACTTTTCATTCTACAAAATTTGTAATGAGTGTCTGAGAATTTTTTAGGAGAATTTTTGAGGAAGGAAAAACATTTAGGTCCCTTAAGAATAGAAGGTTGTGTTTACTTTGTATAATGATAGCATAGATTAAGATTAGGGATGCTATTGAAGTGATTGTTTCTTTGCGGCTTTTCAAGCTTTCTCTCAACAAAATGTTATACCAAACTACTAATCCATCGAATGCCTTTGCAGAGCCAAGTCACTCAATTATGTAACACTTCGATTTCTATGGTTTGTGCAGGAGGTCCAGTGGGGCAAATTCAACATGATAGAGGCCGAGCGGCGCCTCCTCGCCAATGCGCTGCTCGACATCTCGAACCAACGGTTTGTCCTCCTCTCGGAGTCGTGCATCCCCCTCTTCAACTTCACCACCGTCTACTCTTACCTTGTCGGGTCAACCAAGTCCTTCGTCGAGGCCTACGACCTGCCAGGGCCCGTGGGCCGGGGCCGGTACAACAGGCGGATGCGGCCCACGATCCAGATCGGGCAGTGGCGGAAAGGGTCGCAGTGGTTCGAGATGGACCGGGGCCTGGCCATCGAGGCGATCTCGGACACGAAGTACATCTCAGTGTTCAGGAGGTTCTGCAAGGGCTCATGCTACTCGGACGAGCATTACTTACCCACGTTCGTGAGCATCATGTTTTGGAGGAGGAACTCGAACCGGAGCTTGACTTGGGTCGACTGGTCGAGGGGCGGACCGCACCCGACCCGGTTCAGCCGGGGGCAGGTGACCATTGAGCTCTTGAAGAGGTTGAGAGGTGGAGGAAGCAAGAAGTGCGAGTACAATGGGAAGAGCACGAGCGTCTGCTTCTTGTTTGCTAGGAAGTTCCTGCCCAATGCCTTGGACAGGCTGCTGAGATTTGCTCCAAAGGTCATGGGGTTCTAAAAAACTAAGATAAAGAACATGGAATTGTACTTCTTTCATTGACCATTTTGATGATGTCTTTTGTCTTGTTTCAGATTTTTTTTTTAGGTTTTCCATTGTTCCTTTTTTCTTAAGTGAATTTAGAATTCATTTGACGAATGTTAACAATAACGGGAAAATTGTCCAATAAGTCCTAAACCTATTGCACTTTTGTCAATTCAGTCCTAAACCTTTTAATTTTGTCAATTGAGTCCCAAATCCTTTTACGTTTTGCCAATTGAGTCTATCCAGCAAATTTTAGCTAGAAATTGATGGCGTTGACATTTTTTTAATAATATTTTTCGAATGATTTCTTTTCTTTTCTATTCTTTTGTTTGTTTTTTTTACACCTCTGGTCGTCGCCGACCGACCATTGCTGGCCACAAGCGAGGGCCGAACGCCCTTGCTTGTTGGCTAAAGAGGGCCCCAAGCCCCTCGCCTAGTATGGGCGACGGTGTCACAGCCTTTGCCGATCAATAGCCAGCGAAGGCGTCGCGGCCCTCGCTTGAATTTGGCGATGGCATCAGCCTTGTCATAGTCCTTGCCCTCGCTTGTGGCCAGCGACCTCACGGGCTAAAAAAAAAATAACATAAGAAAAGAAAAGAAAGGAAAGGAGAAAGAGAAGTAAAAAAAAGAAAAAATATTTAAAAATATTCACGTTAGCGCCGACCGTGCCATGTCGGATAGATAATGTCCATGTTATAAATTTCCGGTCAAAATTGATTGGAGAGACTCGATTGGAAAAACATGAAAATGTTTAAGACTCAATTGGCAAAATTAAAAAGGTTTAGAATTGAATTGACAAAAGTGCAATAGGTTTAGGGCTTATTAGACAATTTTTTATAGCAATAGCCCTAATCTAGTGTTGTAGGGGGCAAGCAAAAGTGGAGGAATTTACACAACCATTTCTTTTGTACTTGTCCATGGTATTATTTAAGTGTATCAGTTTGGGGATTTTCATTGTACTAGTTTAGAGTGATAAGTGTGCGCACGACATTGAAGACCTTGAGGTCCATGTCCTTTTTGTACCTTTTTTCCTCCATTTCAAATGTTGGGTTTTCTTGTCTTTGTTGTCGATATCATTGAAATGTCTCAAATTGCCTGTGTTTTGGGAGGTAGCAAGTAGCTATCTCTGACATTTGAGATACTTGAAATTATCGCTCTTTAGCTTTGACACGAGTTATATTGGTTAAGCGACGAAGCTATCGCACCTCGACAAAGTCATCGCGCGTGTGCATGCTATTGGAAACCAACATTGTGTTTGTTTTACGAAAATCACAATGTCAATCGTTTTGCTTCTCCATTCATCACCGACCGATGTATCGTATACATTATAGAGAAATCGTTACTACAAGAATTGGAATTCTCAAAATTTAGGAGAATATATTTACGTCTCGAATTTACTTCCTTCAGATTAGGACACATCACCAAATCAAAATGTAGATAGCTGTTCTTTTGAATCCCTCATTTTGCCTCCTTTCATCTTACGGACAACAAGTCTATGCACATCACCAAAGGTGTTGGCACAATGCCACCACCCTTGCCCACCTCAGCCCCCTCCTTAAGTTCGAAGAAGATGTTAATCAACAATGAAAAGAATGATGGTAGCTGGTTGTTTTATAGGCCTCTGTCTCTCTATGATCCACGGCCATAGAGGGCGCAACCTTCACGGATTCACTCGTGCTGATGTTGCCTGCCTCGTGCAACCGCAGATCTAATTGACTTGAGTCACTTAGCTTCTCATCTGACTTGGTCCCTTTTTGATAGATGTTGGAGCATGGACTCTTTTTTTTTTTCTGTATTTTAAGAGAAAGGGAAGGCCGTCACGAGCCCAAGTGAGGGCTCCGAGGTTACACGACCCCGGCGACCCCACGCCGAGGGCCATCGACCCTTGTTGGCCACTGGGTGAGGGTGGCCAATCCCTCACTAGTCGAGGCCGAGGGTAGCGGCCCTTGCCCAGACCTCGCGAGGGCCTCGAAGCCATTGCCCACGATCGGTGCCTGTACCAACAAGGGTCAGCCGGCCCTCGCCAGACTTGGATTATAATATTATAAAAAATTATACATGTCAACGTCGGTTGTGCCATATAAGACAGTCGGCGTTCACGTCAGCGATTTCTGGCTAAAATTGACCGAATGGATTTAATTGGTAAAACGTGAAAATGTTAAGGATTCAATTGACAGAATTGAGAAGTGTAGGATTGAATTGATAAAAATATAATAAGTTAAAAAAATTTTGGACAATTGTCCCGCTCTAGACGTGAAACCCATTTAGAAGGAAATGACCACAACAAAGGAATGGATCAAACCCAATAGATCTTTTCAAAAGTCAAATCTAACAGTCAACAGGGATGTTTCCCATCTTCCAAGTGCCTCCTAACATTTTTCTAGGGCAAAAGTTAACGTTAGATTGAGGTGAAGAAAACTTAGAAAAGGGCAACTTCCACAGTCAAGGTTGCTCCGTCCGATCGAGAATTCAATGTCTTCTTCTTCTTCTTCTTCTTCTTCTTCTTCTTCTTCAAAGTCATTTCTGCCAAAGTTCTAGGAAGCCAAGTTGCAGTTTCCTCGCTCACATCCTTTGAAGGGGCAATTTAGCATGATTAACCATTAATAAGTAAAATAACCCGATTACCTTTCAACTTACATTTCTCAAAAGCCATCCATACCTGACTCATGCATCGACTTACTCTTTTCTTTTATCGCGCGACGGGAGCCGATACGATACAAAATCGAGATGCTCGGACGGGTATAATCGACGTAATTACATTGATCAGACTCTCTCGTACGGCACAGTCGGATGAAAACGATACATGCCATTATATTATCATCATCCAAGGCCAACACCACCTCATCCACACAAAACAAAAGGGTGAATAAAATAAAACGAAATATAAAGAGGGGGGAGATAACGTGTAAAGTGCAGGTATTATAGTCGCACTTTCACGGAAAGGACGTTTGACAACATCGTGGGACGGGACAAATCCGACACGCCGAGACCCCAGATAACATCTGAATCTGCTGGGGAATTTTCCCGGAAAATAAAAAAAATTTCCGTGGGGTTCGAGGAAAATGACAGGAAATTACGAGGAATTTGGAGATTCAGTCTGTAAAAAGGACTTCTTCTTTTTTTAATTGGGAGTCGCTAAAATTTGAGGACCTTTCGAATTATAATATTTTGTGAACTGAGCAAGACCGTGTGACCCACGACCGTGTTTGGTACGGTCCAAATACGTGGCATGTGCGCGGACACGGACACGGGTTCGGTTCGGATCCTAAAACGGGCCCGGAAAAGGGAGGGAGTAAGCGGAGGCGAACCTCGTTTGCTGCGAAGCTCCAACCGAGTTTCCGAGGACGGCAAGCGCTATGGAAAGTTGGTAAGGCGATCGTCTTGCTTTGAGGGGAAGAATCTGGGGATGGATCCGACGAGCATTAAAAAGGTCGAAGAGATACTCCGAACAAATTGGTCGGGGATGATGCGTTCAAAAAGGGTGTAGCTTGACTTGGTCCCGTCGAACTTGACCCGAGCTCTCGATTGATCGGGTCAAGATGCATTGTCCAACCTCACTCTAACATGATCGAGATGTCGAGCTGCCCGACTTGTGTATTCGCCTGACTTGTGTAATCGTTTTTGATCTGTGAAAACATGTGGGATGTGATCATCAACAAGACCTATCTTCTCATTATATCCTATACCCGTAATATTTAACAGAATTCATTCCGTTAATTCTTGTCAATAGAAATTGCGGACGGGATGACAATGTGCATAACATATCCAGCTATCTATATACAAGTATTCTTCATTATTATTCTTCTTCTTATTATTTTTCACTTCATATTTTGATGATTCAAGGCCAGGGATAATGAATTGTCAATTGATCATACTTGTTGACGAGTCATGGTCATGTATGGTTTTTTTGTATAGTCCTCAACCGCTACAAGTAAAACCGCAATGGGAATGACCCGCCACAAGTAAAGCCGCCAAAGGAATGGGACGTTTCTTCGAAATGAACCTATTGACACGTCACATAATTGAGCAACTACAATTGATATGTTTTTTGACCAAAAAAAGAAAGATTACAATTAATATATTTTTTTCGTTAAAAATAAATATTCGTCTCTTTCCTTGAGCCATAAGTCTGACCGTGATAGATTTGATTTGAAATTGTTGCTAACCCTAATTTCCATCGCCGCACAAAATAAGCCACAATTAGGCAACAAGAATCGGAAAAATGGAAAACAAAAGCGAACAAGTTATAATCAGTTTATCGACGTGGTTAAGTACGCGAATTAACAATAAGCGAAACGGAATTGAGATTAGCTGAAAAATTCATCTATTAGATTATTCATACATATCAAGGCGACAACGCACATACATGCAAAAATTTGGGTTTCCATGAGTTGCAAGATAATCTAGAGTATCCTCCCGTTACATGATAATGAAAAGGACTGAATAATCATAAGGGTTAATCCCACAACATATCATAAATCTGTATATGCGCTACATTTACCCAATAATAATTTTCGTATCACAAAAAATTCTAAACTGGTATATCTAACTCCCGTAGCAAAAAACTCAGATGATCAGCGTATGAAATATATATAATGTGGAAATTTACCATAAATAAGTCTCGTAATCGAGTAAAAACATGAAACAACCAAATTTCTTGGCTCCACTTATCCCCTAATTTGCAACACGTATTTCTTCCGTCATAATGTCTCTTTGTAACTTTCAAATTTTTGAATTTATTGTGTGAAAATTCATGATTCCCGAATTGCTCGATCCAACTGTTGTTCGCATGTACATTATTTCATATGTCTATATCGGATAGTAAATTTAAGAGCACGAAAGCAATCATTCGCTCAATAAATGGAACAAAAACTCAAGTAATATTATGTAAGGACAGTAGTAATTTTACATAAACCATCTTCTAGTTTATCATCAACTGAATATACTTTGTATAGAATAGCATCACAATGTATGTTTTTTTTTTTTTTTTGGTAACCCAGGGAACCTCCGCACGGCCGACAACCGGAAGGTAAACCCTGGGGGCGACACGTGCTAGCCACCACACACGTACAATGTATGTTTTTCATCTCTTATACTTCCTAGAAACCATGCGTTATACTACGATGTTCGGAGAAACCTATGCTTTGCGTAGATACGGCAAATGATTGAGCTAATATAAACTTAGGAATCTCTAAAGTTAGATAGAGTTATGCCTTAATTCAAAATATCCTTGCCTCTCACCCAACATCAAAACACAATCCTTCCCACCTACTCTAGCTCCCATCCTCCATCTCCGCCACCAAAGAACCTGAACAGCGAGACTCACCACCACGCCACACCATCGCGCCCCATCTTGTTGTTGCCGCTTCCTCCGCCCGCGCTTCTTGTTGCTACCATCCAGCTCGATCTCGTTGGCCACCCTAGCTTCGTGCTCTCTCTCTGCCCTCCTCATTTCCTAGCTCAATGGTTATGACCGCAACAACCGAGGTTGTGAACCACCCCAATGTGGCCCAACTCTTGAGCCACGCCGCCGCCCCCCGCCCACCCCCCAGGGGAGACATCGGCTCCGTGTGTGCTCGGGAATGGGCGATGGAACAGCGGTGTTGTCACACAATGAGGGTGGGGCTGGCGATGACAGTGTAGTGGGGAGAAGGCATGGTTGGATTCGCTGTCATGGCTAATGGCCGTGGTTGCCTTGCGATCATGTACGGCGAGGGAAGATGGACTAGGGGCAAAATGCGAAATAAGAAAGAGCCTAAAAAGAGAAAAAGCAAGAGAATATTTTAATTGATTTGTGTCGTCCAATTTGCTTATTACTAATGCGTTCAGCTCTTACAAATAATTTATCTAATTTACAAGGATCCTAACATCAGAGTAGTCCCCACCGCAAAATGGTGCGATACAAAATGTATATGGTTTTTGCAACAAAGAGAGAGAGAGAGAGAGAGAGAGAGAGAGAGAGAGAGAGAGAGAGTTGACTTTTGGGTCAACGTCAAAGTCGTTTCATCATGCAAGCATAGGATGGGTCACAACGAAGCCCCTATTGCCCAGCTGTTTCTTCCACCATTCGTCGAAGCTTCAAACACTTCCAAATACTTTATTTTCATTCTTTTAATAAACATTTTAATCAAACCTCTTCATCTTCTTCACTTCTCTCTCCAAACTCCTGCGCATAAATACCCTTCTCTCCCTTCCCAACTCTCTCTCGCTCTTGCATCTCTCGCTCCTTTTCCTTCACCGAAAAAACTCTCTCTCTCTTTCTCCTCTTCCTTCATCTTGATAGCTTTTTTGGGACTTCATCAATGGCTGCAAAAAGGTTCTTTGGCGAATCTGGTTCGGACTCCGATCCGCCGTCTGAAAAACGGATGCGAACTCGACCTTCTTTTGCTTCGTATGTTTTGATTTCCTCCTTTTCTGTTCGCTTTTTCCCCTCATTTCTGAAATTTAGCTCGATCTGTTTTTCTCTTTTGCATACGAATCATTCTTTTTATTCTTCATCATATGAAATTTCTTCATTTCTTGCCCCAGTGTAATTGGAGAAGTGGTGATGGTGAACTCCTTGAAGAACTTCTGCTCGGGCTTGGAGCCGATGCTTCGTAGAGTGGTAAGAAACCTTCTCTCGAATTCACATCCTTCATCAAGAAAATATATATTTTTCTTTTAATTATTGATCTTTGTTCATTTAAAAAAAAATAGAGAGAGGAGAAAAGGAAATGGGTTGAATGCTATAATTTATATGTATGATTGGATAAACCCTAATGAAATATATCATGCGTCACAATCACTTAACTTGCACTATGAATCTATGATCTCATAACGAGTCACTTTGCCACTTGAAACATATACACTGAAAACCCTAGACCATAACATTTTATGATCACAAGCAAAACCCTTAAATTTGTTTAGGTCTAATTGTTTCTCTATTACTTCCTCAGGTGAATGAAGAGGTGGAGAGTGGCCTTGCACGGTGCTCACGCACGCTTACGCGAAACCCCTCGCTCCGAATCCAAGCACTGGAACCTTCGAGCCTCGAGTTGAGGTTCAGCAAAAGTCTCAAGCTGCCCATTTTCACTGGAAGCAAGATTGTGCATGTGGACCGTTCTCAGCTCCAGATCATCCTCGTTGACACAAGAGGTGATCAAGCAGTCCCCCCCACTCTTCCTAGCCTGATCAAGGTCGAGATCGTGGTCCTGGATAGTGATTTTCCTCCAGGAGACCGCACTAATTGGACGAGCGAGGAATTTGATCGGAAAATCGTTAGGGAGAGGCAAGGGAAGAGGCCTTTGCTCGCTGGAGAGCTGAGCGTGACCATGAGGAGCAATGGGGTGGCTGCCATTGGGGAAATCGAGTTGACCGATAATTCGAGCTGGATTAGGAGCAGGAAGTTCAGGCTTGGCGCTAGGGTTTCTCCGGGTAGCTACCAAGGCATTAGGATACGTGAGGCCATATCTGAGGCATTCATCGTCAAAGATCACCGAGGAGAATGTGAGTTGTTTACATTTTTTCAAGTACTTGCACTAATGTCCATTCTTAGTTATGTATAGATATATGATCACATAATCAAGCCTATCAATATGCACAACATGATTCATTTTCATCTCATAGGGTATTCAGACAAAAAAGAAACTTGCAACTTACCACATAAAATGATCGATTCTTTGTACATGAACTTGTAGTTTGTTATGAGTAGATATGCCGCTATCGATACTCACAACCATAAGCACATACAGACATATCTTCACACTAATTCACATGCATAAGATAATATAATAAGTTTTTGGCTTGCATGATCTTTCTTTATTAGCATTTTGGGTCTTAACGTTTATTGATCATTGTTGAACTGTACATACCAAAACGTGATTCTCATTAGGTTTTACTCAAGTTCATGTGCAGTTTTGTTCCAAATATATACATTATAGATATCACTGAGGTTGGTACTTGTCAAGATTGATATTTGATACAGAATACATAGCACTTCAATCATAGATTAGTAAACAAAAGTGATCCCATCTCAGACTTCAGTCAAAAGTGCCCGCACCGGTGGCATCCTGAACATAAATTTGTCATCTTGGTCTGCTAGGGTTAGATTAAGATAGATAGTGCGATCATATAACTCACATCGACAACTAGGAGAATCTTGGTCTTGCATCATGCGGGCTCCACCAATTCTTTTCCATGTCCTTGTCCTACTACCACCATAAATAAGAAGAGATGAAGCTACCAGTCCATGATCTGTGTCCCAGGTTCATCACTCCAATGAGCAAATAAAATTAGGGTTTGCTTTTGTATCCCCCATTCACCATGGAGATGGTGGTCAATTCTAACATTCTAAATCTGTTTTGTACTATTTGATTCCTAAAAATGATCCACAAAAATTACTACCTACCAATATGTGTCCCCTCAAAAAAAGCTGCTGTGAATTGGGCTATTTCAGAAGGAAGCTTCTTTAGTTTGTTTCCCTCTTCTTTTAACCTATAATGGATCACAACATAGATTAGATCATAAGGATATCAAGTTAAAAGCTTGATCTAGCGAGAGCATGATGAAGCGTATTTTCATTCATTGAGATGATTAGTAGTGGAATTGTTTGTGTAGTAGATGAGATTATGCGCATACCTTTGATGTAGAATGTCTTAAATTAGACAATAATTTGATAGTCCATTTAATTATCCGATTTTGTATATTCTTAGGAAACAGATATTAACATTCAAAATTGCCTCAAGCTTTTTATACTTTCTGAATGTTTAAAACATTTTTTGCTTTAAAAAGAAAAATAGTAAAGTACCTCATGAATCGAAGTTTGAACTTTCTTTCTTTCTTTGTCATGGGAGTTGTCTAATCATATGGGTTGGTCACCAATTAGAAGTGATTTCACGGGTCATGGCCCATGGGTCATGATATCACCCCTAAAGAGCACCCACTTTAACTTGTTCGAGACTCGTTCCTTTCGTCGTCTGATATAATCCAAAATCAAAAATAAAAAAAGTAGAAAGAAAATAAGTCAGCTATGAAACTTGGGGACAAATCTTTCTATCTCGTCCCTTTCACTGATTTAACAATCATTTTTGCCTTGCCTAGTGGGACGCATTGTTTGACCATTAAATTAAGGTATTTTTAGGGTGAATTAGACCATCAAACTAAGGTAGCTTCTCTAAGTGAAGACAAGAAGAGTGTTGTTATAGCAAGCGTTTACATTAATTAATAGGTCGAAAGAGACCTTGGTACTGCATATTCGCGTGTTTCACTGCACTCGTCCGCGTCCTCCCTAATTGAAGAAAAATATAAATTAATTCAAATCAATAAATTCGTAATTTAATGGAAAACGAAAATGGAAAGGGAAGAAAATAAGAAGATGACATTTTTAATTAGGTGAATTTTATATAATATGGTGAGGGTTTATTCTCTTCTGCTTGCAAACAAGATCATTTAGTTAACGAAAGTATAAGATAGACAAATCGACGAAATTAGTCGGATGTTCTCATCAATTGGAACGATCAACTCATAACAATATGTAAAATGAGCTAACTAGTTAAGCTAGTAAGGATTACATCGCTATTTTCTTTTTATTTTTTTCTTTTTATTTGATTATCTAAAATTATTGTCCTTTTTGTTGTTACTTAAGTGTACAAGAAGCATTATCCACCACAATTAGGGGACGAAGTGTGGCGTCTAGAGAAAATTGGGAAAGAGGGAGCATTTCACAAGAAGCTTGGTGATGAAGGGATTAACACTGTTCAAGATTTCCTGAAGCTGTCTGTTGTGGACCCAAATAAGCTTAGAAGGGTACTTATACTAAATCTTTCTTCTTCTTTTAATTTCTCTTATTTTTTTTTTCGAATTTTGCTTCTCTAATTGAAGATTAATTATATTTTTCCTTCCTTTTTTTTATTAAAAAAACAGATATTGGGTCAAGGAATGTCTGAGAAAATCTGGGATGCAACCATAAAGCATGCAAGGACCTGTGAGAAGGGCAACAAGCATTACATTTACCAAGGGTCCAACTTCATCATCACCTTGAATCCAATCTGTCAAGTGGAAAGAGCTGAGGTTAATGGGCAGATCTACACGCAAAAGGACCTCTCAAATAACATTATCAGGGTATGCATTGAATCTTTTCAGATCGTTTCATGCTCTAGCCCAAGTTTTGTAGAGCCATGTTGTCTAATTTATGAGTTTTATAATATGGCACTTGCAGCCCTATATTGAGAGTTTGGTCAGACAAGCTTACTTAAATTGGACCACATTGGAAGAGGTTGAAGTTCCTTACTACCCTGAAATAGCTCAACTGACACAAGGTATCACGTAGTATCTAATTTGTCTATGTAATCCATATAATTTATATCATATTTTTAGTACCTAGTTTAAAATATGATGTATTTAATTCAGGTGAAATGGAGAATCGGTGCCCCACACAGTATCACTTGGCAAATAAAGCTTTCGAGGAGTACCTGCCACATGCACAGCTTGGGGCTAGCAATGATTGGCAGATAACAACCTCAACATTTGTGACCACCCCTTTTGAGCATACGATCGGGTACAGCAGCATGCCGGAGACATCATCGTCATCCGACGGTAACAGTCTTGCACCTCCAAGGTGTTTCATGGATGGGAGCTAAATTAGGGTTTGATTGATGAACTAAAGTTTTGTGTGTATGTATAGTCAATCATGTAACATGGGAATCGCCGTGTGAGGCGAGCAGTTGTAGTTGGGAGCCATTGCGAATAGGGTCATAGCGGTTCGAAATGGACCCAAACCTAGCAATCGAGGTCGGAAAAGAAATACATCTCCATGTTTAAGAAATCGGAGATTTGGACAGGCTGTTGACAAATGTTAGTAATAACCCTAATTTAGTGTTGTAGGTGGCAAGCAAAAGTGGAATAATTAAGCAGCCATTTCTTTTGTGTTCTTGTTTATGAGATTATTTATACAGTAATAAGTATGCGCATGACAATGAAGACCTTGAGGGCCATGTCCTTTGTGTACTTTTTTCCACCATTTCCGACTTTGGGTTTTTGCTTTTGTTGTCAATGTCATTGGAATATCTCCAGTTGCCTGTGTTCGGGGAGCTAGCAAGTAGCTATCTTTGACGTTTGAGATACTTGTAAGAATTGATCTTGAGTTTTGTCTTTTCTCTCTCTTAATTTATTAACGACAAGATGGAAAGTATTAGGAATAATGATACTATAAATATCACAATTTTCGTACAATATTCACTTGACTATTATAATTTTTTTTCAATCACTCAAGAACCACAATGGTTAAAAATCATTCACTTAAGTGTCATCGGTGATTTGTGTGAGGCATTACTTTAATATAAATTGGTTAACGTGGCTTGCTGGAGAAATGAAGTCAATAAAAGCGTGCATAAACGACATTTGATTTGGCCCTTTTGTTGACCCAAATTGATTTGAAGATAAACTTTAACTTGGTGAAGAAAGGATGTTGATTTTGTTTATGAGTTATGACGTCTGAGTAACGATTTCCTTGTTTGATGCAAAGGAGGAAGAAAAGAAAACCATAATGTAGTGTAGATTGTTGCACAAATCCGTCCATGACGCACGATCAGTCAAGCAGAAGAAGAGAGCGAAGTGAAACTCCGATCGGCATCTCGGTTCACCACTAAAAGGAGGACAAGCTCATCTCGTCGAAGGTTGAAGAAGGATAGGAGAGCCGAAAATCCGCGAACCCGTGTTCTTGCCCCGCTTTCGCACCATGGAAGTCGCCCAATGCTTTCCGTTTGTTACAAGAGAATAAAATTGGATTAGTATTGAGTAGACTCTCCTTTTGCCTGATTTTGCCCTATGTTTAGGAACTACAGTAATGGAAAAACAGGGGAGGCCCTGAAGGTGGACCTGTTGAAGAACCCGAAGTACATCGTCAACAATGCTATGTTGGCCTTCTAGGCTGCGATCCGGCAGCGGATGCCGGCGGCCCAAAAGCACCAGCCCTCGGCCCATGACGTGTCCGTCGGCAACCGGAAGCCCACGGGGAATGACACCCTGGCCAAGTGAGTACCTGGGTTCGATGCGTCAACTTGATGGGCATCGGCCGCAAAAAGGCGGAGCTACATGGTGTGCTCAACTGAGAGAGAGAGAGAGAGAGAGAGAGAGAGAGAGAGAGAGAGAGAGAGAGAGAGAGAGAGAGAGAGAGAGAGAGAGAGAGAGAGAGAGAGAGAGAGAGAGAGAGAGAGAGAGAGAGAGAGAGAGAGAAGATGCGTCGTCGTTTGAGAAAATGGAATGAGTTGGAATGCGGGTGTCGAATGCGGGTGTCGTCCACTTTGGACTAAATTTTTTTTTTCAAAAAAGTCACGTGAGATTTAAAATTTTTAAAGAAAAGTTACATAGGACGAATCGACGAAATATGTTGATGGATGTGCTCAAGTAAACTATTTTTGGTCGATGTAGCACTCAAGTGGTAAAAAAAAAGAAGTTATATCACTCATATAAGCATCCTGAGAAAGTTGTAATCACTCATGGTGTTTTTATCCCAAAGTATTTGAGCATTAGTTGTACTGGCTAATCGATGAAGCTATTACACTTCGATGAAGTTATTGTGCGCTCGTGATTAGGAAATCGGCATTGTGGTCGTGTTTGGAGAATCTCAGTGCTGATCGATTTGCTTCCCTATGTATCGCGGATCAATATACCGGTAATCATTCCTACAAGAATCGAAATTCTCTAAACTTTGGAGAATAAATTGACATCTCGAATTTACTCCCTTTAGATCAGAACACATCACCAGATCAAAGTATTAGATGACTCTTTTCGTTTTCCCTCATTTTGCCTTCTCTCATCTTCAGATCAACAGCTATATTACACCGTCCGCACATTGTCGCCACAAGCCCCTCCTAGCCTCTCTTGATTTCGCGCCACCGCCACCACGTTCGCTCCCCTTTTCTCTGCATTAAGTTGGAAGAAGATATTCATCTGTAATGAAAAACATGATAGTACCTGGTTGCTTTATAAGCCTCTCTCTCTCTCTCTCTCTCTCTCTCTCTCTCTCTCTCTCTCTCTCTCTCTCTCTCTCTCTCTCTCTATGATCCGCGACCATGGAGGTCGCAACCTTCATGAAGCTCGCTCGCACCGATGCTTACTGCAAGTGCTTTGATCCATGGGACCGAGGCAACGGTTATTCACGGTGTTGGGGAAAGAGGGAGAGACAGGAAGAGGGAGAAATTTAGGTTACGATTAGGTTGGAGGATATGTGATTTTCGCACAAATTTTAGGGTATTTTCATTGCATAAGATCAGGAAAATTTTTAGTGATGCATGTACATGCAAATATTTTATTTGGCTGCTGAAGTATAAAGGATTTTAAGGGTGCGTTTGTTTTACGGAAAACTGAAGATTTGGACAAAATGGTTGGCTATATAACTTAAAAAAATCAGTCAATGGATTATGTTTTCATTATAGACCAATTTATACCTAGCTATTTTCGCGGGTGATGAAAATATTTTTAATTTATTTATTTTTGTAAGCGATAGAAGCAATTATTCTTAGGAAATATTTTCCAAAACTTAAGTTTTCCGAAAACAAACGCATCCTAAGATGGTTAACTGCAAAATGTAGATAGGTATAGATGATCCAAATCCTTTGGGATAATTATACAAATTATTGATAAGCTTCAGCCCAATGTGCATTGTTATCATTGAATTTTTAATTTATTTAATGTGGTATTGAATTTTTGGTAACTGTTCAATTTTAGTCCATAGACTATATGTAAATGTTTAATGTTGTACTTCAATTATTTCAAGTTAACGTAATTTGCTGATTTGACTTTCAAATGGTGAAAATAAAATTACGTTACGCGTAGATTATCTACATAGGATATTTAACTCAAATCATAATAAAATAATAAAATAACATGGATAATCATTTTATCATATTGAACAAATTAAAGTGATTATTATATACAAACTTGAGTTAAATATCTTACGCCACGTATAACATATTTTTGTCCACTATTCAAATGTACTGGATTGAAAATCAAATCAGCAAATTTCGTTAACTTAAATTAATAAAAGGACAACATTGAATATTTTCATATAGTTTATGGATTATATTAAATATGTATCAAAAGTTCATGGACCGCATTGAACAAACTAAAAGTTTAGCGCTAATATTACACATTGAGCTAAAGTTTAAGGACAACATCGTATATTGAGTCAAAATTCAAAGACTCTATGTATCACTTTCCCTTATAGAAGATATTCCTGTGACAAAACAATAGGGACAAAATCCGACAGATCTTTTCAATAGTCAAAACTAATGGTCAATAGGGATGTATCCCATCTACCAAATGTCTCATGATATCTTTCTAGGGCAAAAAGCCATGTTGATTGAGGTGAACAAAAGAGCAACTTGCCCGGTCGCAGTTGCTCGGTCCGATCGAGTCAGGCTCCTGGAGAGAGTGAACAGAGAATTCAAGGCTCTCTTCTTCTTCTTCTTCTTCAAAGTCATTTCTGCCAAAGTTCTAGGAAGCCAGGTCGAAGTTTCCTCTTTCATAACTTTGAAGTCAAGCTCTTTTCTTTTTAAAAAAAACCTTTAGAAACAAAAACGGAACTATCAATACAAAAAAAGGGCAAACACTACTAAAAACTCTAAACTATACTCATCGTGACGCAAATACCTTCAATTTTTTTTTTTGCTTCACGAAAAAACTCGAACTTATATATATGTGACATATATATCATCTATTACAGTTCCATTCATGGTACATTTGTCACACCAGGTTAAGTTCGAGATATTTACCTTGTGTCATAATTGACAAGTTTAGGGTTTTCTAGTGATACAAAAAAGAGTTTGGAGAATCTGTGTCACAGATGGCATTGTTTGGAGTTTTTGATGATATTAACCTTACAAAAAATAAATCCAATTGCCTTCAAACTTACATCGATTAAAAATCCCCCAAACCGACTTACTAGTCGAATTTCAGCTTTCCATTTACTACCGCAGCACGAACCAATGCGGCATGAAATATTACAGTCGGATGGGCGATTAATGTCATCATAGGATCAAACTCTCTCATGACACTTTAATAATTTTTAGGGTTAATTCTACGAAAAATCTCAAATTGGTGCATCTGTGATAAATTTACCCCAAACTAATTTTTTAATCACGAAAAACTCCAGACTGGTACACATGTGACAAATTTGCCCCAAACTAATTTTTTGACAACCAAAAATCTCAAACCGGTATATTTGTGATAAATTTACCATCACAAATTGATAAACCTATGACAAATTGATGGGTAAAACCCTAAATTAGTACACCCGTCAATCGCCACATGTTATCCAATTCAGCAATTTGGCCGTAAAATTTAACAGAAACTAACGAAGGGTAAATTTATCAGAGGTGTACCAGTTTGAGATTTTCCGTGATCAAAAAATTAATTTAAGATAAAAGTCTAATTTTGAAGGCCAAAACTTCATATACCAAAAGATAAATAAAATGAAACGAAAAAAGCGGAGGGAAGGAGGGAGGGAGGGAGGGAGGGGGGGGGGGGGGACATAGTACTATAAGGGCCACGTGTAAAGTGCAGATGACTACACAAGTCCCGCTTTCCCCGGGAAGGACGCTAGCAAGAACGTGGGGACGACAATCCGACACGTACACGAGAGACCAAGGACAAACCATACTGATCCGAGGGGCAGTTCCGGCATTTCGCCTTTTCCCCCCTGTGGGGTTCGAGGAAAATGACGGGAAATTACGCGGAATTTGGAGGATGCAGTCAGCAAAATTGACTTCTGCTCGTTTTTTTTTTTTAAATTAGGAGTCGTTAGAATTTCGCGACCCTCCTTTTTTTTTTAAATATAATTTCGCGACCTTCGAATTTAAAAATATTTCGTGTATAAAAAAGGGAGCAAAGAGACGACACGACCGGCGACCGCGCTTTGGTCTGGTCCGAAATTGCGCGTGGCACGCGGCGGACGCGGATGCGGG